TGATGACTTCTTTATGATAACGACAAAATTATGAAAGTTTTGCAAATTGACCAAAATTGAAGGAAGAAATTTAATAAACGGGACTGCATCTTGCAAAACTCAAAACCTTCACGTTGGAAAACAATAAAAGAAGCTACATTTATGAGACAATCCTTTGACAATTGAATCTTAATTGATCTTGGAACGTTGATGATTGAAATTGAAAGTTAAACAACGTAATAGAATGAAGAGTGTTATATTATGTCAAAGTAAAATTTTTGTTTTATTTTGAACACAATCGATGACTCCGTGGCGCAGATGCCAATGTATTGGCTTCGGCGTCGGGGGTCGTGGGTTCGATTCCCACACGGGACAACTATTTGTGCGGCCCACAGATAATTGTGATAAAGTGAGGGCAATATTTTCAATAAAAAAAAAAATAACAATCTCCGTGTGTTAATATGATGATGATAATGAATTATGGTGCTTGTTTTACTGTTCCTCCATTCCTTAAAAAATAATAAATTATAAAAACAAAAAAACGTGTATTTTAACTGACGCATAAATAGACAGTTGTAATCATTATTAGGTTTACTTTGTTAGCGACGAAGAAGATAGAAATATAAACACTTTTATCAAATAACCGTAGTTTTACTTTGTACAACAATAACACTGGTATAATTGATTACTTTCTAAATAATCTAAAGAATCACCACTACAACGATTTCATTTGTGATACCGATTGGGCGGCACTATCGCGTGTACCTTCTTCTTGTTGAAAGCCAAACAAGTATAATTTTTAGCAAAAACAAACCGACTTCAATCAGAAAATTAAAAACATTGTTAATACCTATAAGATTCAATGATGGCCCTCGATTTCTCTGGGATGCCATCATCAGATCTGGGTTTCTTTATCATGGTACCACTCTTGGGACATCTCCTTTCCGATAAAAAAAGAATCATCAAAATCGGCTCATAAAGGACGAAGTTATCCGCGAACACACATAAAAAAAATAAAAATATATACGGGCGAATTGAGAAACGTCCTTCTTTTTTGAAGTCGGTTAAAAAGACTATGAAATTCTCCATGCAGCTTTATTTATACCAAATAATGACACTTCCTTTAGTGTTGCCAACATCATTACGCGTTATTTACACATTAGCGAACGAAAAACTTCGGCAGCAGTATTAGTCATAGCCGGAAGTGGGTCGTTAGGGCCCCCGCGAACTCCAAATGATGGATGACAAGTCGGGACCTGTTCGGGCATGAACTCGACGATGTGTGCGACAGTTGAACAGGGCGTAGTTAATGGTTGTAGTTCGGCATTGTGATTATTCCTTCCTCGGCTTAGGGCCAATGCCAATATTCTTTTTCTTAGTCACGCGTCTTTTGTTGAATTTTTTTTTTTATATTTTTAAATTCATTATCACCATTATAACATTGCCCGTAGGGAAGAGACACGTGTTAATGAAACTTATATCACGAATGTCACAAGTTGAGAAAATTACTTAACTACATTACCTTAATTAGTGAAATGGATTAATATTATGAAACTATGAAAGTTAAAACATAATGGTTTATATTATTGCTTGCGTTACGTTGAGACGTGGCATAAAGTGCTCGTTAAGACATACGAGACTGTCACTCCGATTGTATTTTGTATTTTTAGAAATTTCAAGTTTTTTATAGTGCCAATCTCTGCACTTAAGATTAAACATTAAAGATTGTAGAAAAAGTGCGAAAAGATTGTCGCCGCTGTGGGAGTCGAACCCACGTCTTCAGCATTCCCGGCCTGACGCTTTAGCCACTAAGCTAAACGGCTGATTGCCACATCGAAGAAAATCTTAACATCTTTTATCTACATTGTTTTAGCATTTGAAGCAATGCTTGGCGGATCTATTGTTCTATTCTTTCCAGCATACAAACAATTTCCAATATCGTCTTACAACGATAACTCAAACGAGAGATGTCGCCATTGCTTTTTAGAAATTTCAAGTTTTTTATAGTGCTAATCTCTGCACTCATCCCTTCTCTCCTCATTCCCACAGCGGCGACAATCGCACTTTTTCTACAAGTTTTTATGTATTTAGTATTAGTAATAAATTATTAAATAAAATAAACAATAAACCAGCCATAAATGTTACTATCGAATTAATTAATTCTAAGTAAAATTATTGTCTTAGATAATAATTGATCAGTCTATAACCAAAAAAATTATAATTTATTGTAGTTAAAAGTCCCTGAAAGCTGTGACATATAATGCTGTGCGATCATCATCTCGGATAATTGGCATTTCTGCAGGCTGCCACGCCGCGGCGCGCCGTCTGTTCCGCATGGGTGGGCAGATAGTAAGGCCTGCGGTAATGACTTGCGCTGAGGGCTGAGGCCTGTGTTATTTTGCAATCGCACTCACGGCGCGGGGGAAATTTATTTTTACGTTATTGCACGTCAGACGAACGGTGCGCGCTCGTCTACAAAATCCGTTTACATGGTTCAAACAAACCGTGACGTTTTCGCTTTTATTTGCGTCTTTAAATACGTATCATTCATCATATTGTACATATATAAATTGCTAGCAGATACAGTGTAATATATATAAACAATGAAAATTTATTTCTATTTGCGTAATGTTTAGGTATTTATTTCATCAAATTATAAATCATGATAAATGTTAAGTTCGTTTTGAGTCCCAAATTCACCATACTATCTTCGAATGTTATGAGAATTTTGAATAGGGTTTATCGATCTACTTAAGCACCGGATAGTTACCCGATTGCGCCAGAAGGAGGGTTATGTTTTTAGAGAGGATTTATGTATGTATTTAAGTATGTACACCACCTACCATTGCCCAAATTAAAATATTTTTAACCACAACGTCGTCTGGAAGAGATCGCTCCTTAGCGATAAGACCGCCTTATTGTTTATACCTCTTAAGTTTATAGTTCTGTAACATTTCCTTTTATGTTTTTTGGTGTTCAATAAAGTATATATAATAATAATACAAATATGTATGTAAAATTGTTTAGCACGCTCTACAGTCTGATCGGCTAGATGCTTTTTGGCTTGAGACGTGTCGTTAGATTCGTATTTACTGTAAGAGTGACACTGGGTATATCAAAATAAAAAAAATACATAGAAACGGGTTTTTTAGTTTTTCAGATTATATTCTACTTATTTATGCATTGCTCTACAGGACCGAGATAATCCTAATACACCTTTACACATCAAACACATACTGTTAATATTTAATTTACGCTCGTATATTGCTTCCTTTATCAACAGTATGTAATTATAATTTCCTCTTTTATCCTTATTACCTCTTAAAAAAATCAAGCAACTGATATAGGTTCCGTCGGCCCGTCTGGCCCTCGGCGATATGAGAGCAAAATAGCATAGCGACGTGTGTTCGGAATAAATGCTAAAGAACGCCTATTGGGGTGCAAAATAAGGGGATGATTTTATCTCCGGAATAATGATTAATACTTCTCCCCGCCGGCTTCAAGCTCATTTCGTCTGCGGACAAATTTCCGTACACTCCGTCACAAGCAAGTTAATTCAAACGAACTTTTTACAAAAAGATTACATGCTTAAATTTAGTAGGCAATTTGTAATTTGTGGTTCTACTAGACCGTCTGGCCGACGCTTTGATGTCCTTTCCGATAGATGGCGCTGTGAAGCATGTAGTATTTAGGTGAATCTTCAATAAATGATCGTCTCTACGAAAAAAACAAGTTGTTTGAGAACTTGAACATTAATAGACGCAACTTTTGCTTACAGTGGGTCACATAAGTTATTAATGATTTTGGAACTTAATCTTGACCTTATCTTATCTACGAAGATATAATATCAGATGTCATTAAAGCTCATGTTACACGGATGTATGAAATGAGCGTTACTGATTGACGTATAAATCTAACTCTGCACCATATTGTAACAAATAGTGGTAGGGCCACTCTTCACCGTGGCACGAATGGGCAGTACCGTCCGGGGAAGTGCCGCGACTTTACAGAAGATCGGCGTAAAGTGTAAGTGTTATACTTCTGTCACGTGTGATGACTGGAGTATCCCACTTTATTAAAAGAGGGCAACACATCTGCAACCGTACAGATGTTGCAGATGTCCATGAGCGATGGTTTAAACTTAACACCACGTGAACCGCCGGCTGCCTTTGCTTGCCTGGCGTCGCTTGCCTTTTTCTCACATGAAAAACCTTATTACTGAAAATTGAAATTTGTAAAATTGAAACAGAAAAAGCACTACGTATGAATATTTCATGATCTTTCGCTACCTGTAAAATTTCTAGAAACTCTGCCAACACGGTCGTTTTGTTGGCAGTGTCTATAGCCCGAGGTGTCTTGGATGCGTCTGCTGAATTATTAAATAGACATCGTCTCGCTCGTCGTACATTCAGTGGCAGTTGAAACTTTTACTGTTTGAAACTTGAAACAAGAATGCTACAAACGTATTTTCGGCGCGTTTTTCGACTAGTAAAAAGCTTAATTTCTCCATTCATTAGTGGTAATTCATTTGGTTGTAACGGTGACGAGAGATGGAAGATTAATGTTTGCAAACTACAAAACTTTTTAGTGCGATTCACTAATAGACGACGGTCCCGTAAATTGACCACGCGGAAGCAACCGAAATTAAGGCTTTAGTACGTGTAGTAACAGGCTAGCAAATGTGGTAAAGGTTTGCTGCAGGTGGCTTGAAGAGCCATGCAATTTGCACCAAAGGCTTGCCAAGCCTAGAAGCATATTAGCATATAGGGATGTTTGTCTCTACAATGGTACTACGGTGAGCACATATGGTGATTTAAGTAAATCAGATCATGCAATAAGCGTCAACACAATTCTATTATCATCTGAACATAGATTCCATGTGATATTTGCTTGCTAGTATCGTGCAACAACCTCAGTGAGGCTGAGCATGCAGATAAATCAATGCATGGCCTTTAGACCTCGAGTGGGATCGAGTATAGGCCGATATGCTACCCCGATTTGTCTGAAATTCCCCCTCTTCAGCACGGCACACGGCAAGGTCGTGCCGCTTCTCCGGACAGATCTGCACCTTCGCGCAACGGTAGAAGCTGCAATGAGTAGATTGATGTTTCATGCACCGTCTCTCTTCATGCACCGTGTCCCTTTAAATTTCCAGTCAGCTTGGACGTTTTCCTATTTGCCAATCAATCTAAAAAAATATGCAACAAACGCAAGTCCTACAAGAATACTGAACAACATATTGTTTAAAGTTGTATCACATAACATTACATAATTGATTATTTTTATAGTATAAGATATAAAGCTATAGGCATCATGAAACTCATATGATAAAATTAGAAAATGTCCTAATGAAGCATTAAGTTGCTGTGGCAATTGGGTAAACTTCGAAATATATATTACATTAGAAAGGTACTAAGGGTACAGAGAGCCTGTAACGAGAGAAGATTATGTGAATTGTAACATTAAACGTTATTTAGCGGTAATATTTACGAACACCATACAGAACGAAAATAAGGAATTAGTCCTTATAATTCCTTAACCTTATCAATTTAGAGATTAGGGTAAGGAAGAAACCGAAATTAAGTTGGAGGAAGGAAACAGTTAACTCGTTCATCGACCATAAAACTGCAATGTTGGCATGTATAGTTGTTGCTTACTACGCGCTTGTGTTTACTATGAAACTACAACCTTCTTTAGAAAACAAAGTACAACTTAGTACAAAACAATATTGGTAGCATGCCCCACAAACTGGATTCATAAATTTTATTGAATGATAGTTTATCTGTGACAATCAGATTAACTATGAATATTTATGAATGTTTATTTAATTTAACTGACTTATGAACGTTTATTTAATTTATATAATTTTTTTTAACTTATTAATTTAAAAAAAATATTAAGTTAAATAGTTTAAAAAAATTGTGTAAAAATGTGTTTTTTATTATTTTTTTCCTTGACTAGCCCTTGAACCATAAATCTCACATAAAAGTAGAAGCATGCCATTCTCATATTTACAAAAATTTGTCTTAAAAAGCTTGCTTTAAGTTCGGCGCGGTGCGGTCTATTGTTACTTTTCTTCAGGAAGTAAAAAAATATAAGACTTTTATGTTAGTGTAAAAACTTTGTAATTATTAAATTGCAAAAGTTGTTTTCCTTGATTTTTGTTTGAGTATGTATAATATTATATATAATGAGTGCCAAGTGTCGCAGTTGCCAAGGTATTCGCTTCGGCTTGGGGGTTGAGGGTTCAATTTCCACACGCGACAACTATTTGTGTGACCCACAGATAATTTTTTGCATCTAAGTGTCCGACCATCTGTAATTTATGTTTGTAAAGCGTTCTTACAGCACAACATAATGTAATCTATAAGTAAGGTCAATGATTTTACAAAAAAAAAATATTACACATTGACATTTTCATTCAGCTTAATAGCTCTATAAAGAAAGAAGAAGCAGAGTATTCCTCGCTTTTTAATATGCTTACTAAGCTTTTATGGAGCTTGTTAATTAAACTAGGCATCGCCGAGAGACAGTTTTATTTTTCTATTTAAGAAATTCCATCGTAGAAATATCATCACAAGATATAATGTAATGTCTCTGTCGATGTCAACGTCTTTTTTAAATGAAATGTCTGAGTGCCTACAAAGTAGAGATTAATAGCTTTTCAATGAGCTAGTGCGTATAAAACCTGCAACATCCATTAGCCAAGCGTTTGCACTTCCCGTAATAAATAAGACATACAGTTTGTGTATAAAAAAGACCGTATATAATACAAATGTTTGTTAAGGTCACAAAGTTTGTTTAACTTTAAAGGATCTGTACATTATTCACACATCTTTTGTTTATTTCTAACGGGAATCTCTGGCAATTGCGAAACAATTTCAATAAAACCTACACGTACTTCTGAAGTTTGTACCATGCTCTACCATTGTTAACCGAGTTGTTACGAAGTTTTAACGAACGGAATTTTTCTTCAGTTTTGAAGAGGCCAACCCACAAGAAAATTAAACAAGGAGTTGTTTGTTTTCCGGGTTCAATCAAAATCATGGTAATCCACTACATTTTTGGCACGGAAAAGTTCAAGAAAACTTGTGTCGCGGGGATTTATAAAAAGTAGTTAGATCGATTGCGGCCGTTTTAGAAAAACATCCCTTAATCACTTATATTAGTAAAGTAACTTACAATATTACAATCGCTTGAGTTAAATTGTAATATTTATGTTTTACCTCGTAACATAAAACAAAGTCGTCCCGCTGTCTGTCTGTCCCTGTGTATGCTTAGATCTTTCAAACTACGCAACGGATTTTAATACGGTTTTTTTTATTAGATAGAATGATTATATAAAAACGAAAGTAAGTATATAAGTAAGTACATAAGTATAAAAACGAAAAAGGTATATTTAAATTAACAGCTAACTTATAATTAACAAAAAACACGATTAAGGTCTGTTTCGGACCGAATTCGTGTTACATGCTTTCCATCTTCCTTTCTTACAAATATTTGCCCGCCCTTCGTCCAAGCATAGCGCCAGTTTGCTTTTTTCGCTGCCTCCCGAGTTTTACCGAATAGTTTTCTTTTCAAAGGTGTCAACCTCTCGTTCACATAAAATCGACGCGGCTCACCGGGTAACCCCAGGGACTCAGTGGTTAAGGTGCGCCGCACACGGGCCGAACGTATAAATTCATCTCGTAGCGCACGCCAGCTCATCCGCACCACAATTCTACGTAGTCCCACAGGAACTCCTTCTTGAGAGCTATTGATATTGTTAATAGCTTTGCGTAAATTACCGACGCGCTCGGCATGGACTATTTCACGCTGATCAACATCAAGACCTAACTTTCTAGCGCATAACAAAACAGTGTTAATTGCATCCTCACCCTTTTGTTCCGGTATTCCCGATATTTCGAAGTCATTGGCTAATAGGTCCTGATTCCTCTCGTTTAGTTGGATCCTTAATTCACCAATTGTCTCTTCGACCTCCTTGGAATCGCACTTATGCACCTGTTCTTCCATTCGATTCTCCAACTTGGTGACCATGGTATCGATTTCCTTTAAATTTTTAGTGCACGCGAGGATTGTGTCCCTTAATATGGAGACATTGTCTCTTATCTCCTTTAGCTCATTGCGCATCGCCCCGAGTTCATTTCGAAACAGTCGTATTTCCAAGCCTATATCAATATCTTTGTGGATGGGACTACTGTCCCCCACATCCTGACACTTTACCGGTGTATTGGAGTTGTCTCCAGCACGAGGAACTTTACTTTTACAAGCTGGACACATCCACGCAGTTGATATTTTTGCCTTTTCCGATAGGTTAAGGCAGCCTCGATGATATGTGAGGTCACATTTGCCACAGGTGACGCCATCTGTCGCCGACAGGTAACGACCGCAAGCTCCACGAAGCCATTTTAATGTAATTATTAATAACTAGCGGCCCGCCCCGGCTTCGCACGGGTGTTTAACAAAAAGTTATCATACACACACAAAACCTTACGAATATTTCGTCTTTGATGAATAATTTTATGAATTTCTTCATCTTTAAATGAAATACCCTTGAAATTACGTCATGAAGATCGAAAGACCGCTGACCAGATAATGGTTCCGCTTTAATTACGAGACATTTGGGGTTACACGTAAAAGTGACAAATAAGTCTGGTATCCCATAGCTTCGGACATAAATCATCGCATCTTTGGTTTTTTAATGCAGATAACTCGGAGAACCTGTAAATGAATATGACGTTGCAGATTACGCGTTGACCGATATTTGATAGGCCAATATCTTGATTTAAGGCGTCTCCAAGATGAATGTTTCACCAGCCCTCAGTCTCTGGTGATCACGACATCATAATTATGTAATTCAATCTTTCTGATATCTTTTTGCCATCATATCGAAAATGTATTGAATAAAAACCGGCCAAGTGCGAGTCGGACTCGCACACGAATGGTTCCGTACCGACCTCACAGAAGACCGGGGTAACATAGAAGTGTTATACTTCTAAGTTTCGTCTGGTGAGAGAGGTAGCCGGGGCCCACTTTTTTAATGTTTGCAACACAGTTGTTATCACTTAACGTCAGAGGAACTGGCAGCTCGTTTGCCACTCTATCAAATTAAAAAAATCATGTTTTAATACCTTTATTCAATAGAAGTATAGAAGTATTACACTTACATATTGTCAAAAACACTACTACTGTAAACATTATTCATTGTTCTATCAAAACGACAAAAAATCATGTCTGTTTTATGGGAGCCCCACTTATTTATACGTTTTTTTTTTTAGTATTTGTTGTTATAGCGGCAACAGATATACATCGTTTGTGAAAATTTCCACTGTCTAACTATCACGGTTCACGAGATACAGCCTGGTGACACATGCACAGACATACGGACATACAGACAGTCAGCGGAGTCTTAGCAATAGGGTGCGATTTTGCCCTTTGGGTACGGAACCCTAATAAGTCTCAGTAATAATGCAATAGGTTAGAACAGGTAGCTCTAACCATCAACCTAAATGCATAAAATTCCATGCATGTCACAGTTTTGTTACGCACAGTACCTTGCCGAGGAATAGTCAAATATTAACGACGTCAAATATGACGACCCGAATGGCGTAGTGGGTAGTGTACCTGCCTTCTGCGTCAGAGGGTGTGGGTTCGATCCCCACTACTGGAAAAATATTGTGTGATGAACATAGTGTTTTTCCAGTGTCTGGGTGTTTATATATCTACAATATGTATTTATTTACAAAAGAAAAGTTTGTTTAAGTATGTTTATCAGTTACCTAGTACCCATAGTACAAGCTTTGCTTAGTTTGGGACTTGAGAACGTTGTGTAAAAATGTGTCCTAAATATTTATTTATTTATTTATTTATTAACCGTCTTCTCCTATTACGACAATTAAGGAATATTTTAGTGGATCATACAATCTTTGTAACTCAGAGACCCTTTTAAGTTGGACGTGTCTACCGTGAAACACTATACCTCTGGGGCCTTTTTAGGATTCCGTACCCAAAGGGTAAAACGGGACCCTATTACTAAGACTGTCTGTTTGTCCCTCTGTCAACAGGCTGTATCTCATGAACCGTGATAGTTACACAGTTGAAATTTGATCTGGGTATTTGTTTCCAAAGGTGGGTTAACGTCAGGCGGGCGGCTGGTTGTAAAAATATAGCCAAAACTGCCTACAACATGATTCATGTTGTGCCGACCCCACCTAGGAGGCAGGAAGATGATGATTGTTGTATATTGATGATACTTCTATACTTGTCCCTCAATTTTAAAAGTTCGCGTCAAAAGAAGTCATTTGAAAAGGGCTATTGCACTTTCGGATGTTGGTCAAAAATGTCTAGATGGTGATTGATTATTTGTCAAAAGATATTTATTGGCTGTGCTCCTCAATATTGGGGAGACTAACTTTTCCAGAAGCACAGCACATACCGTTTTTGGTTCATCGACCTATTTTTTGGCAGAACACTTACAGCAGATCTTATTCATTGCTTCGATTTGGACGGAAGACTGTTGAGCTTAATGCATTAATGCTGATCTGTTACTGTGAGCTAAAAGTCGATTACGAACTCTAGTCGTTGACGTTTGTTGTTTTTCTCTCTCATCTCGTAGGCGCTGAGAACGCGCAGAGCTCGATTCCCGAGTGTGAATTTGTATATTTATATTATTTTGCTCTTTAAACCGCTCTACTTGACTCTCTCCGACTTGTAAGACGATTTACACTTTCCGGTAAAGATTCTTCATTACGGCGTATTTTTGATGCCCTCGCCTGGGAACTATTTCTAAAAATGAGATCTTGATCTTTTGGCCATTTTAAAATGATAAAAAATTAAACTGCCTTTGTACTCAAATATTTCCTAGCTGTTAAACAGGAATTACCAGTATAAATGTGATTGATAAATTATAAGAACCACTAAGTCAGTCACTAAGCTGTTTGGATAATTAAATTACTATATACTAACATTTTTAAACTTGTGATATTTTTCGAATGGAATGTCCGAATTTAATAATTCCAAAAGTAGTATAAAGCTATTGAAACAGTCTTTAATATGAAGTAATTTATTTTTATAAGGATTAATACCAAGATACAAATAAAGAGCCTTTTCTAGCGGCGGCATTTCAATCAAAATTTTAAAATAAAAGAACACTTATCGTGCCATAACTATGAGAGTTAGACATATGCTTTCGCGACACTTTTTGGAAATAATGATGTGTTCTGCAAATTCGTAGTACATTATTTTATTCTATCATCAATAGTTTTAGTGAGAATCCCTATTTTTTAGAAAATATGATATAGCCTATATCAAGTGGGGATAATGTAGCTTCCCAACAGTGAAACAATTTTTCAAATCGGTTCAGTAGTTTTGGAGCCTATTCAATACATACAAACAATCAAATCTTTCCTCTTTATAATATAGAAAACTAATCAATGCAACTAGTAGCCAATAGATGGCACAAATCGAATATCCTTAATGTGTGGAAAGTTAAACCGTTACAAGTTTATCTTTTTAGTGTTTAGAAGTAAATTAACGCTTAGACACGACGAGAAGTATACACTTTCACTTAAATGTTTTATTAAAATTGTAATCGTGTACAATATAGGATTGAAAGTTCGGACAAATGAATGTCTTTGTTTATCACAAAACTAATTAAAGGGTACTTTTACACCGATTGTTACCTTATTTACACGTTTATATGAATGTTTACTTCGATTTCACTGCACTAATATTCAGTCACTCTTATGATTGTTTTATTTATGCATATATAACACTTTTGTAACTTTATAAGATACATATATTTAATTAAATACGATTAATTTAGAGTACAGTACTACTCGCTGTCAACAGTCAGCCGTCAAACTTTCATTTCATATATCTAAGTCGGTTAAAAATTATCAAAAATTATTTCCAAGGACTAACTGGTGATTGTCTATTACATACTAGACTATACGATTACTACTAGTTAGTTCTTATTCAGTGGTGATGTAATCCTGGTTAGTAAATAACCAGGATTACATACTACCAACCTCTTATGTACTAGCATAGGAAATCAGATTGCATTAAGCGCTATTGTGTTTCGGATTTGAATTTTGCAATAGCGAACTTAAAACTACGGCGAAATATTCGCAGCCATTGTTATCCGACAGTTCTTTGCAATTCAAAGCAGACTATAGCATTTTACAAAGTGAAAGCACCTGACTTTCGTACTGGAAATTTGGTATTGGCGTCTGAGGGAAAGTTTAATTTTCTGTTGAAAATAAGTTTTTTGATCTTACCATTCGAAACCAACAGTATGTATTATTAACGACTTTAAATATTGCATGAGTTGAATCTTTACAAAAGATGTTCAATGAGATAATGATAACATGACTGTGTTGAAGGAAAAGCTACATAAGGAGTAGTGTTGTTGAACATTTCATTTTCCTTTCGCCAAAATCGGGTGTTGTCTTGGGTACTCTATTTTAGGATTCCGTACCTAAAGGGTAAAACCCTACTACTAATATATCGCTGTCAGTTTGTCTGTCTGTCTGTCTTTCCGTCTGTCACCAGGCTGTTCTCATCAACCGTGATAGTAAGATATTTGAAATTTTCACAGATAATGTATTTCTGTCACCGCTATAACAACAAATTCTAAAAAACAATTTAAGGAGGCTTCCATACCACAGATATTATTTATTTGCCGTCTTTTTAGCTACTGTTACGGAACCCTTCGAGCGCAAGTTCGACTCCCACATGGCCGGTTTTCTTTTTGGGGAACAAACCATGAACAGGTAGCCACCGGTAGTAATCCTGTATCCGAAGTAATACACCCATTTTTAGAGGGCCAAACGGTAAGTTTATCGCAACGCTATAGTAGGGTTATCCCATACTCATATATTACATAGCTAGAGAGTGGAGTTAAATTCATTCGCAATGCAACTTGTATTCAAGCGATCGTATGACGTATATACTTGTATGTCGAATTCGTATATACACACGTCATACGGCCGTTTGAATAGTGAAATGTTAGTTGGTTTACTTGCATGCGCACAATATAAGCCAGAGTGAAATTTCGGCCTTAAGCCGAGGTCTGCCGGATTAGAGAAATTTATAGCAATACGCCAATTGAATTTATATAATAAATAAATATATAATTAATGACCCAAATGGCGTAGTCGGTAGTGTACCTGCCTTCTGCGCCAGAGGGTGTGGGTTCGATCCCCACTACTGGAAAAATATTGTGTGATGAACATAGTGTTTTTCTAGTGTCTGGGTGTTTATACATGTATAATGTGTAT